CAATGAACTTGTTTCCATAAGTGTTTGAGAACATTACATGTACAATGCAAATTTGACATAGAAATTGTTTACATATTCAAGAGAGGACATGCATGTTTTAATACTAAGCAATTTCAACACACTAATTGAGGATCTCTATACTTAATAATAATAATATATACAATTTGTATTGCGCCAAATCAGCTATCAGCTAGTGCGTAGAAGTAGGGTACACAAACAGAGAAAAGAAGAGAGAAGTGCAAAAGAAATAATGAGAAAAAATAATCAATTATACGCGATGTTGAACAGGTAAGTTTTTAGATTCTGTTTAAATATTTTGGCAGAACTACTGTCTTTGATGGCTTTCATCGAAAGGGTGCGGTGCGGTGCGGCGCGGTGTGGTGTGCTCAACGCACCCATTCGATAAAAGAGGGGGGCCTTTTCTCGAAAGGGTGCGTTGAGAGCGGAGTACCGTTTTAACACACCCTTTCGATGAAAGCGGGGGGGCTTTTCTCGAAAGGGTGCGTCGACTAGTCTTTCGCATCAGTCGTTTAAAATGAGGATCTCGGACAGAAGGTAATAGTTGCCAATTTAAGTAGATCTATATCGAAAATGTATTAAATAAAATGGAATGGTCTTGATTACAGAGTGGTCTTTTTCGTTATTACTATGTTGATGGGGGAGACAGAGAGAAGGAAAAAAGGGAAAGGGAAGATAAAAGGAAAGAAAGAAGAATAAGAAGAGAAGAGGGAAAGGTGGGGGGGGCGAAGGACTCTTGCCCCCCCCCCCCCCCCGCCAAAAAATAAATCAGAGAGAGAGAGAAGGGAAAGGGAAAGAGAAGATAAAAGGAAAGAAAGAAGAGGAAGAAGAAGAAAAGAGGTAAACGGGGGCAAAGGGCTTTTGCCTCTCCCCCCCCCCCCCCGCCAACAAATAAATAGGAGAGAGAGAGAAGGGAAAGGGAAAGGGAAAGAGAAGATAAAAGGAAAGAAAGAAGAGGAAGAAGAAGAAAAGAGGTAAACGGGGGCAAAAGGCTCTTGCCTCCTCCCTCCCTCCCCGCCCCCCGCCAAAAAATAAATAAGAGAGAGAGAGAGAGAGAATCTGTTCTGATCCTGGTCCTGATCCTCAAGAGGGATATAAAGATGACCAATAAGAACGTTATCGTTCGAGAGAGAGTGTTTGTTGCTTCTAGAACATTTTAGAATTAAGTCCCATCACATTGCAGTTGTGGGGAGGGACTATGATTATATTACCCCCTTGGATGGCTTCCCAGAGTCTGGCTTTGAAGGTTTCGACTGCGTCGCAGGCAAAGATGCTGGGGGGGGGGGGAAGTAAATTCCAGGCCCGTATGGTTCTTGGAAAGAAGGTGAGTCGATATATATCCGTCTTGCATTTTATGTTGGAGAAGGAGAGGGAAAGAGAAGATAAAAGGAAAGAAAGAAGAGGAAGAGGAAGAAGAATTTGTGTTCTGCCAGTGTCACAAATAGATATATAAATATGCTCATCTGACGATAATTTGATGTATAAAACCCCTCACCTTCTTGGGGCTCCGCCCCTTGGATCCAACACCAATTTGTGTCCTTCCAGTGTCACAAATAGATATAAAAATATGCTCATCTGACCGTTATTTATTGCCCAAGACCCCTGAGCTTCCGGGTGCTCCACCCCCTGGACCCCACGCCAATTCGTGACCCCTGTGTCACAAATAAGGTATAAAATAATAATTATTTAATGGACAAAACTCCTGAGCTTCTGGGGGCTCCGCCCCCTGGACCCAACACCAAATTGTGTCCTGTCACTGTCACAAATAAGGTATAAAATTATGCTCATCCGACGTTAAATTTTGATGTTTAATACCCCTGAGCTTCTGAGGGCTCCGCCCTGTGAAAAAAACGTGTAAAAAAAAAACACGTTAATTTTTATCGTTTTTGGGAGATACCCCCCCCCCCTGGCGTTCAAGCGGGGGGGATGGGGGGTACGATTTTCCAAAATATTTGAGGGCCCCAAAAAAGATTAGTGCTCTCTAGTAATTTCGCGACTACTCCGGAACCGCGGCAGATATAAAGTTTTTCTTTCATGACTTTTTTCTTTCGAGTCTTACGCATCTTTTGAAACATTTTTTTGTTCAAAATCGGACGTATAATTGCGGAGTCACGTGACCTTTTGTTTTTGCATGTCAGCCCTAAAATCGCTCATTTTTGTGATTTATGTACCAAACATATGGAAATACCATTTATTCTTTTTAGAAAAAAGAGAAAACATTGGTTATTTGGTCTTGTTTCAAGTAAATGTGTTTGATTTTGGGTAAAAATAGTTGAATTGTGGTTAGAAATGAAATGAAATAACAAAATAATATAATACATAAATACAAATTATCGAAACAAGAGATAACATAGGGATAAACTGGCTCTTCCAACTTTGTTGTCGTATTATTATTCTAACGAATATATGAAGTGAAAAAGAACGCTCGAATATGAATTATATATGATTTATGGGTAAAAATGTGAATTCTCTGACCTTGTTTGCATAAATTACCATAAATATGCATTTTCGCGGCGATCGGCTGTGAAACAGCCGAGATCTTAGGGGAACCCCCCCCCCCCCCCACCCTCAAGTCCACTCCAATCACATTGAAAAAAAGTATGACTTAAATCATCTCTCTCATCATTATACCGCTATAGTATTCATGTTTTTAATATTATTTATTGTCCATTAAACAAGTTCATAGAGAAAATACTTATCTCTCTGCAACATTAAAAAAGAATCTTCATTAATATCTCTTAATTTGTATTTATAGCCTTGTGGTCGCCAACAGTGGCGAAGGCAGGGGCGTCTCCAAAGGGGGTGTGGGGGTGCGACACCCCCCCCCCCCCACCTGTCAGGATATTGTCGGTAAAATTGCGCTGCCGTCGGGAAAAAAGAGAAAAGGGGGAGGGGAAAAAAGAGAGTAAAAGGGAAAGAAAAGAAAAAAAGAAAAAGAAAAGAAAAAAAGAAAAGAAAGGAAAGAAAAGAGAAGAAAGAAAAGAAAGAAAGAGAAAAACGAAAAACAGGGAGAATAGGAAAAAAAGGAGGCAAGAGCCCTTTGCCCCCGTTACCCTCTTTTCTTCTTCTTCCTCTTCTTTCTTTCCTTTCATCTTCTCTTTACCTTTCCTTCTCTCTCTCTCTCTCTCTCTCTTATTTATTTTTTGGCGGGGGGGGGGGGAGGGGAGGGAGGAGGCAAGAGCCCTTCGCCCCCGTTTCCCACTTTTCTTATTCTTTTTCCTCTTCTTTCTTTCCTTTTATATTTTCTTTCCCTTTCCCTTCTCTCTCTCTCTTATTTATTTTTTTGGCGGGAGGGGGGGGGGTAAGAGCCTTTCGCCCTTCCCCCGTTTCCCTTTTTCCTTCTTCTTCTTCTTTTTTTCCTTTTATATTCCTTTTCTCTTTCCCTTTCCCTTTCCCTTTCCCTTCTCTCTCTCTCTCTCTCTCTCTTTTTTTAATTTTTTGGCGGGGGGGGGGGGGCAAGAGCCCTTCGCCCCCGTTTCCCTCTTTTTCCTTTCCTTTATCTTCTCTTTCCCTTTCCCTTCTCTCTCTCTCTCTCTCTCTTATTTATTTTTTGCCGGGGGGGGGGGAGGAGGCAACAGCCCTTCGCCCCCGTTTCCCTCTTTACTTCTTATTCTTTTCTTTCTTTCCTTTTATCTTCTCTTTCCCTTTCCCTTCTCTCTCTCTCTTATTTATTTTTTTGGCGGGGGGGGGGGGGAAGGAGGGCTAGGAGGCAAGAGCCCTTCGCCCCCGTTTCCTTCTTTTTCCTCTTCTTTCTTTCCTTTTAGATTTTCTTTCCTTCTCCCTTCTCTCTCTCTCTGTTATTTATTTTTTTGGCGGGAGGGGTTGGGGGGAGGTAAGAACCTTTCGCTCTTCCTCCGTATCAATCTTTCCTTCTTCTTCTTCTTTCTTTCCTTTTATATTTTCTTTCCCTTTCCCTTCTCTCTCTCTCTCTCTCCTATTTATTTGTTGGCGGGGGGGGGGGGGGAGGAGGCAAGAGCCCTTCGCCCCCGTTTCCCTCTTTTCTTTTTATTCTTCTTCCTCTTCTTTCTTTCCTTTTATATTCTCTTTCCATTTCCCTTTCCCTTCTCTCTCTCTCTCTCTCTCTCTCCCTTTCGCCCTTCCCCCGTTTCCCTCTTTCCTTCTTCTTCTTTCTTTCCTTTTATATTTTCTTTCCCTTTCCCTTTCCCTTCTCTCTCTCTCTCTCTCCTATTTATTTGTTGGTGGGGGGGGGGGGGGGAGGAGGCAAAAGCCCTTTGCCCCCGTTTCCCTCTTTTCTTCTTCTTCCTCTTCTTTCTTTCCTTTTATCTTCTCTTTCCCTTTCCCTTCCCTTCTTTCTCTCTCTCTGATTTATTTTTTGGCGGGGGGGGGGGCAAGAGTCCTTCGCCCCCCCCCCCCCCGTTTCCCTCTTCTCTTCTTATTCTTCTTTCTTTCCTTTTATCTTCCCTTTCCCTTTCCCTTTTTTCCTTCTCTCTGTCTCCCCCATCAAAGAGACCACTCTGTAATCAAGACCATTCCATTTTATTTAATACATTTTCGATATAGATCTACTTAAATTGGCAACTATTACCTTCTGTCCGAGATCCTCATTTTAAACGACTGATGCGAAAGACTAATCGACGCACCCTTTCGAGAAAAGCCCCCCCGCTTTCATCGAAAGGGTGTGTTAAAACGGTACTCCGCTCTCAACGCACCCTTTCGAGAAAAGGCCCCCCTCTTTTATCGAATGGGTGCGTTGAGCACACCACACCGCGCCGCACCGCACCGCACCCTTTCGATGAAAGCCGTCTTTGATGGCTTGTGGGAGAGAATTCCATGTGGATGGCCCAGCATGCGTGAACATATTCCCCCACTTAGTTTTGACCTTAGGGATAATCAAGAGACCGGAATTTTGGGAATGTAAGGTTCTAGAAGGGATGTACTGGTGTATCAGAGAAGTGTTATACTGAGGAGCAGATCCATGTGTGCAATGATATATAAGGAGGAGAATCTTGAAGATAATGCGCTGTTCAACAGGTAACCAATGGAGTGATTTGAGGACAGGAGTGATATGATCGTGCTTACGGGAGAAGGATACTACCCGAGCGGCCGCATTCTGTAGTTTTTGGAATTTTGCAAGAAGGGTACTTACCGAAGATGGTATGTTCTTTTCCTTTTCCAGACTGGGCTACAATACATGAGAGAAAAACATGAAACATTTCATCATTGCAATCTTTTTTTGTTAACTCCTTTTCTTTCCATTTATTTTCTTGTATTTTTAAAACTTTTCTTTTCATTTTTTCCCTTTTTATATTTCACCTTGTCCCCATTTTTGTTCCTTTCTTTTCTGTTCTGCCCAAATACGCCAGTGTAAATAAGGCATCTACAGGCATCATAAACATTGTAACAATTCGATAGTAACACTTGTTTGCATAAATCTGTTACATTACACTGCAATGCAACAATGAACTTGTTTCCATAAGTGTTTGAGAACATTACATGTACACTGCAAATTTGACATAGAAATTGTCTACATATTCAAGAGAGGACGTGCATGTTTTAATACTAAGCAATTTCAGCACACTACTAGTAATTGAGGATCTCTATACTTACAGAAGATGGTATAGTCTTTTCCTTTTCGAGACAGGGCTACAATACATGAGAGAAAGAAATGAAACATTTCATCATTGCCATCTTTTTTTGTTTAAATTACCCCTTTTCTTTCCATTTATTTTCGTGATTTTCTTGTATTTTTATAAACTTTCCTTTTCTTTCCTTTTCCCTTTTTATATTTCAACTTGTCCCCATTTTTGTTCCTTTTCTTTTCTGTTCTGCCCGAATACGCAAGTGCAAATAAGGCATCTACAGGTATCATAAACATTGTAACAATTCGGTAGTAACACTTGCTTGCATAAATCTGTTAGATTACACTGCAATGCAACAATGGACTTGTTTCCATAAGTGTTTGAGAACATTACATGTACAGTACACTGCAATTATTTGACATAGAAATTGTTCACATATTCAAGAGAGGACATGCATGTTTTAATACTAAGCAATTTCAACACACTAATTGAGGATCTCTATACTTACCGAAGATGGTATGTTCTTTTCCTTTTCCAGACTGGGCTACAATACATGAGAGAAAGACATGAAACATTTCATCATTGTCATTTTTTTTTTTTTACCCCTTTTCTTTCCATTTATTTTCTTGTATTTTTAAAACTTTCTTTTTCTTTCCTTTTCCCTTTTATATTTCACTTTGTCGGCATTTTCGTTTCTTTTCTTTTCTGTTCTGCCCGAATACGAGAAGGCAAATAAGGCATCTACAGGTATCATAAACATTGTAACAATTCGATACTTGTTTGCATAATAAAAAAATAATAATAATGAAATATCTTTATATAGCGCATAACACAATCATGAGAAAGTCCCTATGCGCTTAAACAGAAATAGAAGTGTGAAAGAAATCAGAAGAGCTGGGATTATCACTAAGGTTATTGGGTTTCAAAGAGATAAGTTTTTAGGTTACTCCTGAATTTGTCATATGGTGTGATATTTGTGAAGTAGTTTGGTAGGCTATTCCATAAAATAGATGCTTCATGTGAAAATGATCTCTCACCATATGATTTTGTTGCAGTTTTAGGTACAGTGAACATTGATCTTTTACGAGAACGTAATGATCTCTCCGGTTTATATTCAATGAGCAATTCTGTGAGATATATGGGTGCTAACTGTTAAATCTGTATTACACTGCAATGCAACAATAAACTTGTTTCCATAAGTGTTTGAGAACAATACATGTACACTGCATATTTAACATAGAAATTGTTTACATATTCAAGAGAGGACATGCATGTTTTAATACTAAGCAATTTCAACACACTAATTGAGGATCTCTATACTTACCGAAGATGGTATGTTCTTTTCCTTTTCCAGACTGGGCTACAATACATGAGAGAAAGACATGAAACATTTCATCATTGCAATCTTTTTTTTTTTACCCCTTTTCTTTCCATTTATTATTTATTTCCTTGTATTTTTAAAACTTTCCTTTTCTTGCTTTTTCCCTTTTTATATTTCACTAAATTTGTCCGCATTTTCGTTCCTTTTCTTTTCTGTTCTGCCCGAATACGAGAAGGCAAATAAGGCATCTACAGGTATCATAAACATTGTTACAATTCGATAGTAACACTTGTTTGCATAATAAAAAAATAATAATAATGAAATATCTTTATATAGCGCATAACACAATCATGAGAAAGTCCTTATGCGCTTAAACAGAAATAGAAGTGTGAAAGAAATCAGAAGAGCTGGGATTATCACTAAGGTTATTGGGTTTCAAAGAGATTAAGTTTTTAGGTTACTCCTGAATTTGTCATATGGTGTGATATTTGTGAAGTAGTTTGGTAGGCTATTCCATAAAATAGATGCTTCATGTGAAAATTATCTCTCACCATATGATTTTGTTGCAGTTTTAGGTACAGTGAACATTGATCTTTTACGAGAACGTAATGATCTCTCCGGTTTATATTCAATGAGCAATTCTCTAAGATATATGGGTGCTAATTAATCTGTATTACACTGCAATGCAACAATGAACTTGTTTTCATAAATGTTTGAGAACAATACATGTACACTGCATATTTGACAAAGAAATTGTTTACATATTCAAGAGAGGACGTGCATGTTTTAATACTAAGCAATTTCAACACACTAATTGAGGATCTCTATACTTACCGAAGATGGTATGTTCTTTTCCTTTTCCAGACTGGGCTACAATACATGAGAGAAAGACATGAAACATTTCATCATTGCAATCTTTTTTGTTTACCCCTTTTCTTTCCATTTATTTTCTTGTATTTTTAAAACTTTACTTTTCTTTTCTTTTCCTTTTTTATATTTCAACTTGTCCCCATTTTAGTTCCTTTTCTTTTCTATTCTGCCCGAATACGCAAGTGGAAATAAGGCATCTACAGGTATCATAAACATTGTAACAATTCGATAGTAACACTTGTTTGCATAAATCTGTTAGATTACACTGCAATGAAACAATGAACTTGTTTCCATAAGTGTTTGAGAACAATACAAATAAGGCATCTACAGGTATGGTATTATACATGTATGTATCATAAACATAGTAAAGATGATTATTACGCTCACCATTGCCATCATTTTTTTTTTGAGGGGGGGGGGCCAATTTGAGGATAAAAGGTATCAGAACCATGTTTGGCAAACATTTTTTTGTCCTTCTTTTATTTTCTTAGCTATAACAAGGCACTTCAAATTACTTTTTAATTTGAAAACAATTAATAAATCATCATTAACAGAAAATTTTCCTGAAGGTTTTTGTTTTTTCTGAGGGTTTATTCTGAAATGTGGATCTGTCTTTCAATGTGAGGTCTAATTATATAGCAACATTTAGTCATTTACAAAAATTGAGGTACACTTCTTTCTTTTATCACATTATAATTATCTTGAATGTCAAAGGTCTAATAGCATTAGGTTACTTCATAAGCAAGCTTCCCATTAAGATTCACCTTTTACCAAGTGCATACATTAGAATATAAGCAAACAAGAACATGTTCCATTTACCTGCCGCCAAGGTAAATTCTTTACTCCATAGTCGTATGTTAGTTCCACACCTTCTTTAAGGTCCACCAAAGCAAACAAGCACAAATGTGGGGAGTTATTATCAAATGCAACCTTTTTCATGATGCTATTTGGATGCACATGATCATCGTTGACCCACCTAGCGAGGCAAGAATTGCTATCTGATGCATCAATCCTGGAGAGAGTGAACAAACCAAGAATAAGATCTATAGTAAACAGTACTGGAAGTTCTCAACTCACTTAGGCCAAGAAAAAAAAAATTGTTTGGTCGCCCAAGAATGCCATTTTTGAAAAATAGTGTCGGTCGGTCGGACATTTTTTTATTTTTTTTTGTATTTATTTTTAGTTTTGACATCTTATATGAAAAATTGGACCAAAATCTCTGGCCTCTAACTCGCCAGGACCCTAGAAATCCCCCCAAATTAAATTATTCACCAGAAACAGATGGCTATTGCTGTCTGTTGGAAAATAATTACTGAGGGGCCAAGAAATTCCAATAGACTATTTTTAATGACTCTTTGAAAAACATATTTCATATGTATTTTTGGCCATGTGTTTTGAACTCACCACCCCAAAATGTTGGTTTTTTTAACGCTTTTTCACATTTCATTGTCTATAAATGTTAATATCTTTCCTAAAAAATAGGGTAATAGTCTTGAATTTGGTAGCATTCTAAAGCTAATTAAACAGAACTATCACATCTGCAAATATAAACTCGTTTGCGCGTAAAATAACGACGCTACGTAAGATAGAATGACACATGGCGAAGTCGGTTGGAGGGGGGGGGGGGGAGCGGTACACAGTATATCTATGGGAGCGACATGCGAAACAGTTTAACGTAAATAACTTTGGCAAACATGGGGCTATTCAATTGATTTTGGTCTCATATTGAAGGTAATGATGCCTGCTACATTATGTATATACACTTATTATTGATAAGTATTCTTTTTCTTGAATTATGTGATAAAAATGTCACATTCCACCATACTAACACACACAAACTCTATGGAGACAATGCATTTTAAGGGTTTTTCGCTTTAAACGTTCATAATTTCGGTATACATGGGGCTAGACCTATGGTTTTGGTCTTGAATTAAAGGTTATTAAGTGTGCTTTTATTTGCTTATGTTTATTATTTTTATTTTGTTAGTAATCACTTTTTTGTAAATTTAACCTCCAAATTGACAATTTTGTGTGCTGAGAATTTGCGTATATTTGCATATTAATATTTCTATTATAGAATAGAGATACCCCATACAATTCGATATCATCTGAAAGGGAATTTCCTGAACAATTCAAATATGATGAGAAACTAACAGTCAGGGTAAAGGAATTGCAGATCTAGATATATTTTGAAATGTATTTTTGGAATCATCACACTTCAAATATTTTCAATCATAACATTTTACAACTCCACCCTATCCCATTTTCAATGGCATTTTTGAAATCCTCAGGGTATTTCCTTTCAGAAAATGTATACTTTTGCAGGGAAAGAGTTAATATTTTTAAAGTTATTGGCATTTTTATGCTGAAAGGTGCGTGACTGTCAGCTTTAATTTTGGGGGATGGTAACACAAAAGGAGGCGAGTTCAAAACGCATGGCCATTTATGAATTTCTATGTGAATGAAAAGTTTAAAAAAATATAAATAATCAGGTCGGGCTAATTTCAAAGAATTGGTCGGTGGAGGGCAACCAAACAATAGATGACCTTTGACCTCAACATCTTTATCACTTCATGTCTGGTATTACCTGAGGATCATTTGTTCGAAGTGTGAACGAAATTGATCAACAAGTAGAAAAACAAGAGCAAGTTGAACAAAACCAACAGACAGTAAAAGTGATTACTAGTAGGAGTGGGCTATCCAGGGGTGAAAAATTCTTTTTTGGTCATTTTGTTTTTGCAACTTTTTTTGTATTCTATTTAATACTCTATCTCAACATGGAATAACAAAATTTTTGGCTTGGGGTCCAACCAAAATCCAAAATGGCCGCCACTTTGCCCCCAGATCACACTTTCAGCTATAACTTTGTGATTTGTACGTCTTTTTGTTTGGATTTGGTGTCTTACCCTATGTTTGTAATCTGTAAGTGCATTAAAAAGTGGTAAAATCTATCAGGTACATGTCTAGTGCTAGCATCCGTTATGAACAATGGATTGGGCTAATTTGCATAAATAAGCATATTTATCGAAAAGATATCCTCAATTTCTCTAGCATTGCTGAAGACAAAATTTGGCTTTCTACTGGATAAATGACAGGTTTCCGACAAGCTCACTGGTACAATCTTCCCCTAAAATGCCCTGGATATATTCAGTCCAATGTGGTCGTTGCCATATTTCATATCCAATACGAGCACGCATAGGTGGTCCACTCGGAAAGTTTCATCCCCATTGTCGTTCAAGAAGAACACTTTTTTCCTGATCAAGTTTCTGTAAACTTACGAGCATTGATATATAGGAAACACAAATCAAGTTTGCAGCAACACATGAGGACTTTATATTGCAAAGGTATTTCACACAGATCAAGATTGCGCAAAGTTATGAGGACATTGTATTGAATAGGTAACACAGCTCAAAATTCCATAAATGGTCATTTTCAAACATACATGTAAGTGGACATTTTTTTAAATTGTCAATTGGCCGTATTTCAAAACTTATGATATTTTTGGGCAATTTTCTTTCACGTACCATGTGAATACAATATGAATTTTCATTTTTCACAAAATTTTTGGATGTCTGCCTTCTCCTTATAGGAGAAATGAAAACTGCACAAAAAATTGTACATGTGGGACTGGGCTTCACAAAATGTTAGAAAATTCTATATTTCTCCTCTCTTGCATTATTTCATCAATCAAATTTGGACCAGATAGTAAGAAATGGTTAATATCTTTCAATTTGAGGTGCTATCACTGTTGCCTATTGATGAAAAAGTATCAAAAATTTAAGTTAAAGTGGACATGTCGCGTCTCTCACGATTTGGATGTCGCGTCTCTCACAGTATTTAGGGGAGAATCATTTATCACTGAGACGAGATGATTTATTACGACTATATATTTTAGAAAGGTACACTACTAGTACACAAGTACCAGCAGTCATGGAAGTGTCGGAGGTTTAGTTGGGCACGAATAAAATTATCACTGATAGCAGTCCAAAAACCATGTCCAAAATTTGTCGTGTCTCTCACGCCCCTTTTTGTACGGTAGTCGTAATTTTTCTAAGAAATACAGAATTCAACTCAAACTGGTAGTAGAATGAGACCATCCTACAATTTACAAAATATGATAGGTATGATCCACTATTCATTTCCAAGTGGAATGATACAGGCCCTTTTGTCTCTCAAAATGTCGCGTCTCACACGTTTGAAAATGACCAAATGTACGAGGACAACATACGTTGCAAATGCAACACAGTCTTTGTTTAAACTTAATTATGAGGACATATTAACACAGGTAAAGTTTCTGTAAACTTATGAGGACATTACATGTACACATATCAGGTTTGCAGCAACACACGAGGACTTATTGCACAGTTATTTCACACTTATCAAGTTTGCGTAAACTTATGAGGACATTGTATTGAATAGGTAACACAGCTCAAGTTTGCATAAATGAACGAGGACAACGTTTGTTGCAAATGAAACACCTGTAGTCCTTTTTTGTATAAACTTATGAGGACATATCAACACATATAGGAAACACAAATCAAGTTTGCAGCAACATACGAGACTTTATCTGTTTATATTGCAAAGGTATTTCACACATTTGCACAAACTTATGAGGACATTGTATTCGATAGGTAACACAGCTCAAATTTGCATAAATGTACGAGGGCAACATGCATTGCAAATAAATTATATATGAAACAAATTTGAAAGGAGGACTTGATATTGCACATACGAGACTTTATCTGTTTATATTGCACCGGTATTTCACACAGATCAAGATTCTGCAAACTATGTAACACAGCTCAAGTTTGCATAAATGTACAAGGACAATATACGTTGCAAATAAAACACAGGTATTTCACACATACCAAGTTTGCGCAATATTATGGGGACATTGTATTGAATATATGTCACACAGCTCAAATTTGCATAAATGTACAAGGACAACATGCGTTGCAAATGAATTATACATTGACATTTATTATATATGAAACAAATTTGATAGGAAGACTCGATATTGCACAGGTATTTCACACAGACCAAGTTTGCGCAAACTTATGAGGACATGGTATTTGTGTATGTACGAAGAAAATGCCATGCAAAAGTAGCACAGTCCAGGGGTTTATAAAACATGCAATTAAACTTACGATAAATATTAATCGCAAGTCTATGGCAAATTATGTACCATATCGAGATACGATTTATTGCAAAATTAATTGTATCTCTCTATGTTACAGGCTGCAGATTTGCAAAGTCCCCATGAGTTGCTGCAAACTTGATTTGTGTTTCTTGCAACGTATATTCACTTTTCTAAGAAGTTAAGCAGGAGCCGCGGAACGTTTTGAAAGAGGGGGGGGGGGGGGGGGGCTGCCACAATTGGGGCTGTGTATAATACCATTTTTACACACTCCCATAGGCTTGCACGTGTTAACTGAAAAAAGTGGGTAAAAAAAAGTAGGTAACACAGCTCAAGTTTGCATAAATCTATGAGGACAACATACGTTGCAAATGAAACACAGTCTTTGTTTGTATAAACCTATGAGGACATATTAACACAGATAAAGTTTGCGCACATTTATGAGGACATTGTATTGTAAGACAGCTCAAGTTTGCATAAATGTACGAGGACAACATGCGCTGCAAAAGTAACACAGTCTAGGTCTGTATAAACGTATGAGGACATATAAACTTAGATCAAGTTTGCACAATCCTCCATTTCTCTAGCATTGCTGAAATCAAAATTTGGCTTTCTACTTGATAAATTATAGGTTTCTGTCAAGGTCATGCACTGGTACGATCTTCCCCTAAAATGCCCTGGATATATTCAGTCCCATGTGGTCGCTACCATATTTCATATCCAGTACGAGCACGCGTATACATGTCAGTGTTGTAGTCAAGGCCCAAACTCTCAAGGCCAAGGCATGACCCCCTCAAGGCAAGGCCAAGGCCAAGGCCTGAAACCCCAAGACCAAGTTCAAGGCAAAGGCATTGAAAAAAACAGGCCTTAAGGCCAAGCATCAAGGCACCACAACACTGATACATGTAGGTCATGTCATCCCCATGGTCATTCATGTAGAACACTGTTGCAAGGACTATATGGAGGAAACAGTGGTAGAAGGAAAGACTGGAAATCTTGTAGGATGCCAGAGAAGCTGAGAATAGAATATTTCACTCTCCTGAACCTGTATCTTCCAAATTCAACAACCACTTGATTTTATTATGGATGAGAGAGGGAACTAAAAGATGATATAATTGTGTTCTTCTTGAATGACAATGGGGATGAAACTTTCCAAGTAGACCACCTATGCGTGCTCGTACTGGATAAGAAATATGGCAGCGACCACATGGGACATTGTTATTATTATAAAAATTATAAATATTCTAGTTTCAGCTTCTCTGGCATCCTACAATATCTCCAGTCTTTCCTCCTACCACTTTTTCCTCCATATAGTCCTTGCAACATTATTCTACATGAATGACCATGGGGATGAAGCTCTACAAGTGGACCACCTAATGTGGGCTGGTACTGGATATGAAATATGGCAGCAACAACATTGGACTGATGACATTCATGTTACTAGAGGAAGATTGTACTAGTTATGCCCGAAAATCTAGTTTGGGGGTAAATCGGTAGCCATTTTCTATTTTCAGAGCTACAAACCTAAAAGCGGAATCTTCACTTTTTTGGTCCTTTTACGTTTGATGGGGCGGTACCAAATTGAAAAGATGCCAGTGAATGATTCTAAATAGAATGTATTTAAATATTTCAATATTCACTGGCATTTCGTGCTTGTGACTCGGATATCAGTGTCATTGTAAATTGTTTTTAATGATTGGCTGAATAAATTGAAATTGAAAAAATTGAAATTGAAATTGAATATGCAAGGTGCTCTAAATTTTTGGCTGTAATTCACAAAGGCACACCGCTCAATCTTGAGAAATTCTTGCGTCTTGCTTGCTAATAATAAAGAGTTATGAGAAGACGGGTGGATGGATAATGGTATTGTTGTGTTCAGATAGTAATCAACATCTAAATATTTGATACCCCCTAATTAAATGCAAAAGACAAAAATTCCGCTTTTTGGTTGGCAGGTATGGAGTTTGGCCCGGCGTACATTTTTGTCAGACCCTAAGCCAAAATATTTTGTCATTTCATGCTGTTGCAAAAAGAAAATCAAGAATCATCCATTTATAGCCCACTCCTATTACTAGGTCTCTGCCAGAACATCGTTCAGGCGAGACAAAAACTGCATTAACAGACACTTTCACGATTTTGCTGATATTTTTAAAACACAATATAATAATATTTCATAACATGCTTTATGTAGTCTTCGACTACATGTATAAAGCATGCAAATGTTAGTCAGCATAAACTGAAGAAACAGGATTTTACTCATTAAAATCACTCACCGATACTCGGTACTTTTATGCGAGAAGTGGAAAACGTAATCCGCATTCTCATCATCCTGATCATCAGCAATGGACAATATTCCACGATATTCCAGGAGGAAATCTCCCTTTAAAAAGGGTTTATTTGTCACAAGTCCATGTCCTAAAAGTGGAGAAGGAAAATATTTTGTTAAAGTTAAAAAAAAAGTAAAAAAAAAAAAACCTTATGGCAGAGTACCATGTAATCATGGTCATACAAAGCAAAGGTGTGTGTGTGTGTGGGGGGGGGGGGTTACCTCCAGAAAATGCTTAAAATTGACGTTTCTTTTTATTACTGAATGTCCGCACAATCGACCACAAGTGTGGACCAAATCTTTCAATATCACATTAACAAATGCAGAAACATGCTGCTAATTTAAGGATTTTTGACAATCTTAGTGATTATATTCATTTTGAAAATTCTGTGTTTAATGATCGATAAATGCTCACAATGATCAGACTTTGTGTAGATTTTTTTTCTTCTCTCTTTCTGCTTGTACAATGCTGCTATCTGTGAACCATATTTTTCAGAGCCTTGAATCAAAAGGTATTGAACCAAAAGCAAATCTTCCTAAAGGTTTAACTAGCCTTGATCTCATGACTTGCACATCAAAGGACTAGTTCAATACAGCCACTACTAAACTGCATAATCTATGTGTACAGTACCTATGTCATCGTTGATAAATTTTTTTTCAAATCCCTCCTGATCTTCTCCAAGGCCGCACCACCTCTCCGCTATATGGTAGGGTGAGATGCGGCGGTTACGTCTCTGACTCTGTCAAAAGAGGATCATGAAATGCTCTACATGAACATCTAGTTATACAGTGTATGTCAACTGTAAAGTAACATATCATATGTCACTCCCCCCCCCCCCTTTTTTTTTCCTCTTTAACTTAGAATTAATAAAGAACTCCAGGCCCAAATAACTGGATTCATAAAAAGGAAAAAAAAATATTCCCTACAAAATGGTACAAAAATCATGAAAAGATGGAAGTTATGATTCGGAAAACACTTCTTGACCAGTCAATATGAATATTCATTTGAGTGAAGTGATGATGTCATCAGGTCACACAAATCATAAAGATGAAATCAAGAAAAATAAAAATTTTGGCAAATGTAGTTGAAAATATAACCCTGAAATATGTCATAGTAGACAAAATTTCCCATTTTGGGAGATCTATAGAGAGAAAACAGATTTACTTTATTTTGCATGAAAATGAGATTTTTCTCATTTGAGTGAGATTTTTCTCATTTTCTGTAATCGAATCGTGTAGGAAATTGTGATGGTATAACATCATCTCTTCACTAAAATGAATATTCATACAGTGCCAGTCACAATTTTTCTTCTACCTGTTAATCCATGGAGGGACAGAGCCTTTAGGAAATAAAAAAATAATATTCAATCAATATTTAAATTGGCAACATGTATTTTTTTCCCCTCTATTAAATGATAAAAAATAAATGAATTTAGATATAATAGCACCAAAAAGAGATTTTTTTGTGAAAAAAAATTGGAACGAAAACGGCCAATGCTAACGCAGAAGTAGTGATTTATAAATTTTCTTTGCAAATTACCAATTTAAGGATCGCAGTGATTTGCTACATTCAAACTGCCCTTACTCAGGAACGCAAAATCACATTGCACTGGAAAGAGGCTCAAAATACTCAGTGTATTTTTCTCTAATTATGTTGCTAAACGCTCAGCTTTCTGGAATGTGGAGATACTGCCAAAAAGGTGACACTGCATGTACCTCTATGGGTTAAACCTGCAAAAGGCTTTATCACAACAGAATCACAGTAGGATCACTAAACCATATCTATTGAATTCAGCCCTTGCAGGTTAGGTATATAGAAGAAGAATTGTGACTTATTGTTTTCTAAAAATATGGGAAACTAAAAAAAAAATCATAAGTACCTTATTTCTTAATTTCTTATTTCTCATTTTCATTACTTTTTTACCCTGGAAGATTTTTCTGGAACCTTTTTATAAAATTCAGTTATTTTTTGGTCTGGAGTTCATTTTTAAAGAGTTCTTTCAAATGTCTGATTTATTCCAGCTGCCGGGGAGGGGGGGGGGTGGTTAAATTTTATGTACTGGGGCTATTTTTCCCCTGTTCACTGCAAATTAAATTCTTAAAACTATGCCCATCCATGTGTAAAAAGCTGTCACAAAATATAGATTTGGTCTAAATATTTGCATTAAAGTAAAAACACTTGATACACATGCATTGATTTTCCAAATAATTGAGCTAACAAAAATACCTAATTCTTGAAAAGGGTTTCCCCCTTTGATGGACTAATACAAAGCTTAAATTTGTTTGTAATTTAACAAAAAACATCCATAGAACAAGATAGACTGGGTTTTTCAAATAAACCAGATGATGTCTCAAAATACTCAAAGCGGTGAAAATCCAGTGAGGATATTAACAGCTTGTTACCAATCTTCCATAAATTGCATGTATCATTTAAACCCCAAGTATAGTTTATTTATTTATTTGTTTTATTTTAGTAGGGTTGCCTAATCAGTGATCAAGGCACTGTTTTTCACTGGGGCCCTACAACAAAAAATACACATACATGAAAAATACAAAGGTAAAGTATACATACATAAAATAGTAACATTAGGCTGCAAAATTAAATTAAACTAATGATCAGCATTTTGGGAATTAACTTTAACAGAATACCAAAAATGTTTAACAAATTGTGAGATGGTTTGTGAATTCTTAACAAAATTGGGTAAACTGTTCCACATAACAGAACTAGAATGAACATAACTTGATCATCCAATTTCAGTTTTTACCGGTAAGAGTTTAACAGAATTATGGACTGCACAGTAGACCTTAATATATACATGTATCTAGCAAAATCCATTGTTTTCTAACAAAAAAGTCTGGTCTTTTCTCCTTTTGGTTATCGTTGTTGTTTCCTTGTATTCATGCCATGATTACTTCATTAATGTTTTAAATGAATGATTTGTGATGTTGACGGGACATGTTCCCATTATGTGCATACATGTATGAGTTATCTGAAACATAAAGAATGACATATTACTGCATTATTTAGGGTTTGAAGTGGAAAGTTTTTTAAAAGTAAATTTAAAACTATACCAATATCTCAAACTTGTCCAAAACATAAGACTGTTTTAATGACGGAATTCATCATTTTTCCGCACACATTCAGTCCATTTTGCAAATAAATATACACAATGTGTGGACTTTCCTGCATCAGCATCAACATCATTCAAACTCAGTCCATCCTATGCAATTGCCAACAAAGTCCCTCAAACCAAGAAAAAAATTGAAACTTTTGTCAGAAAACAATATTTAGCATTTTAATTTTTACATTCCCTATATTATATATCTAGGGGTTCTGCATAATCCGTGATTCCACAATCAGAACAGATGGCATATCATTATCAAAAGGAAATGAATCTTTCCATATATACCACTAAACAGTTTCCGTAACAAAAAAGATATCCCCTCAAAGTCGAGTTACAGAACTTTTTGGAGGGGTTCAAAATGAACCCTCTCTATGTAAACAAAATCTGATGAAAAATATATTAACAATACGTGTGTAGAACTTAATTAGCAATAGCAGATGATATCATGCAGCAAAATTAATGCCTAGGTCTAGATCTAAATAATTGTTCTTTAATTCATACTTTTAGGTGTACAATTTCTTTACCCGGAATGGCTGAAATACTTCTATAGAGAAGTATTTGTTCTTTTTTTTGTTCTTGTTTTTGTTGTTTTGTTGTCTTTATTTTGTATATTATGTCACTGGGTGTCATTGGGTGTGCCGGAGAGGTTGGGTGACCGGACGGGTTAGGTATCCGGACGGGTTGGGTATCCGGACAAAACGGCAATTTCAAGAAATTTGGAAGCAAGATTTCATAATTTGTTTGAATGTAATGTAAGACAATATTATATATCACAAATGCTCATAATTATTTTTGTTATTTGATCCATAGTTTTTGTGAAATTCAAAGGCAGAAGGAGGCGATTTTATTTGTGTTAAGTCTCCGGTCACCGCACCCCATCTATACATGTACATAACAAAGACTCTAGTTTTCATTATCAATATAATTTGATTTGATTTCAATGGGGGGGGGGGGGGCAACGCACCCCAGCCCTCCCCCAAATGTTCCGCCGCCACTGTTTAATACATTCCTCATGCAAATATTCATAAAAATCTTTGAATTTTTGCACGGCTCAACATTTCCCATGCATGGTCAGTACACCTCAAGGCTCCACACTTTGTTAATGCATAGATCTAGGCCTACATTCATACACATTGCAAACTATAAGTTCAGTGCACTAGTACATCTCCAGAGTCCCCAGAAAAAGATGTGTGAATCAGAAATAGGTCTAACTTTACTCACCTTGGCCCCAAATAACATCTGGCCTCGAGCCTTCCCAAACACTGAATTCAATGAGCTGGTTTAATTTCTCCAAATCAACCAGACGATCAACAAATATAAAAAAGACCTGTCCCCATCTTCTAGTTCTGATTAAATGATTGAAGTGAAAACTAAAGATTAAAATAAAATTATAATTAAATAAACTGGCCGTAATTATCACCCCTTTTGGTCCATAAAGTGATACCCCAAACTTTTTTAAAAATAATTTTCGAAGCAGTGGAGTCTCCTTTGAGAACTGCATGTGGGTTAAGTCTTTGGTCAGCATCCATTCACATTAATAGACGAGCACCAGCAGCACGTTTGTTTTATTCCCTCCTTCACAGATAATTAGTCAAGCCTCAGGTCCTTCACGTTTATGGCACGAAAATACATTTAAGTTAGGCCTAGACCTATGCCATGTGCGTGCAAACAAACAATGGATATCACATAGGCATACGGTAGGCTAGTAGCACATTGAAACAATACTAAATTTCTTACCTTTGCCATCGTTCGTTCCAATATTAGGGCCGGGCCAAATCGTGAAATAAGCCACCGTTCTAGTCTAGTCCCGCGCGCACGATCAGATCAGTCATCGACGACACGGTCGAGTCTCGCGCTTCTAATACAACGCGCCAGCTAGCTGCGCTGCATTTTTGCAAGCTCGCGCGCGCTAGCTCACAACGATCGATCGAGGATCTGTGTGTCCGCAGGGGGCGCTCTTAACATTTCAAGACACACACGACGATATACCAACGGGAGTGTTAAGTGTGTCGATTCTTTTCTTTTCGAACATCCGAGGACAGGCCTTATTTAAGGTCAGATGCGTCCTCGGACGTAGAATATCCTTTTGCACGTCTATTACTCCCGAGGACAGCATGTTACGTCCTCGGAAGTAAATTTCGTCCTCGGACAAAAGGTGTGTTTTCTTGCAGTTGGTCTCGGAAGATCGATAATGCGCACGCACACGGACAGACACACAGACAGACAGAGACACAGACAGACAGTAAAACGGACACATTATTAGAGGTTTACATTATATGGAAGACATAAATTTTAGCATAGAAAAGAAGTAACACATTATTCCATGTTCTCAGTTCACCTGCATGCATGGTGAGGTATCAACACAGACTCTCTGACTGACTGGAGTATGCGAGATGGAGCTGAATATAGGGATGATCTTCTATAGATCTCCATCTCTAATCTATCTTTATCTCCCATGATACCCCAATTTAGCAGAGTGCAGTCACACATGTATCCCCTACCTTTCCTTGAATGTCAGTAGCAGAACTTGATGATGCTTGTACTATAAAAAGGGCACAATTTTTAAGTTTTCATACAAATACTGATTTATTAATTTTTTGATTTTTTAAAAACTGTATCTTCCCCTTTATTATATTCATGGGAGGAATAAAAAGTACCCTTTTTCAACCATTAAAATATTGCCATATTTTGATGAAAGCTTGGAAGCTACATAGTCTGCTTTAAAGTAAAAAACATTTACATCAGTTTTTTATCTACACCCAGCAAAAAAAGAAAATGGACACTATTTATAGTGTTTTTAGCACTTTCAGAGACTGTAACATACACTGTGCAACTGGCCACCAAATTTATCAACAGTGCAAACACACACAAAAAAGAACGACTCATTTTTTTATTGAGTAATCATCCATTGGAATATTCTGGAGAGAAAAAAGAATTCAGCATTTGATTCATAATCTTATAATCTCTCTCTCTCTCTCTCTCTCTCTCTCTCTCTCTCTCTCTCCCTCCCTCCCTCCCTCCCTCCCTCCCTCCCTCCCTCCCTCTCTCCCTCCCTCCCTCTCTCTTTCTCTCCCTCTGAAATGAAAAGAGTGTCAGGAAATGAGCTCGGCCATGTCTCCACATCCATTTATCATGGAGATGAGCACTTATACATTTATTCTGATGAGGATGGCATTCACACTCTGGAAATGATTTGTTTTCCGATGCGATTAGCCACACCCTATCACTTGAAAGTGAGGATGTTGATTATTTCTCCTTTCTCGTGAGTTTGAGTAAGACAAGTGTGATGGGCTCAGTCGGCCATGTTTAATGGAAGAAGCTACACATCTTGTTCAAATGTGGATTGTGTAGGAGCATTCTGTTACAGGTACAACGCATTCATATAAGGGGGACTCATCATTGAATAAAGTTCAGTTATAAGACATAAAATAACCCCAATAATCATATTAAATATATTCCATATGAATGCTTGCAAGAGGGTGAAACCTGTCTATAATGACCACCCAAGGGAGACAAGAATAGTGGTCTTCATACATATGTGGGCAGGTTGTCTTTATATACAGGTTCCTTTAGTACATGTTTCAATGAGAAACCATTTTCAAGGGAAACAAAACATGTGGTCTTTGTAGACAGGTCGTCTTTCTATACAGGTGGTCACTATAGCAGGTTTGACTGTTCTAACAACTCACCTTTACCGTAATTTAGAGTGCAGGTATGACTACTGCATCACAGAAATAGACACGCTCATTAGCGGATCTTCCTTCCAAACCTAAGCACTTGTGATATGTTCCCCAAGAGCTTTCCTCTGTTTGACACGTTCCCTCATTCCGCACTTCGTTCCCTCTTTCCCCATCTCATTCCCTCTTTCTCCATCTTATTCTCTCGTTCCCCATCTCGTTCTCTCTTAAAGGCTTCGTTTAACAATGTTAAATCTGAGATGCACGGCCCTACATGTTTTCAGTTTCTGTAATATGGTATAATATTGAAGCCCTAAAAGAATCGCACTTCAAAATGATCAAGAAGTGCCTTAAAAAAGTAAAAATCTTTGAGTGAACGGTTTTACCATACTCATTTTCCACAATAGACTGTAGTGTTATGAAAACCATTGGGCAAACACAAAATTCAGTTTCGATTTCCAATCATAAATATCTTGATATTAAGACAGGCGATCGGCTTGTAAAAGTCATGGGGTTCCTGACTGACCTAAAGGTTTATAATTATCATTGCAGCATGAGCTAAATCCAGGATTTTTTTTCAGAATCTGAGACAAAGTTACCGGATCTCTTTAACGGAGTTCTCGTGGCGTCGTGGCCCATGCCCTGAGAATATGGGTCGGAGCTACTCAAAAAGTGTGTTTGTTTCTTAGGGTACTTGTGTGTGCATCATCCTCTGATTGAAAGCATGTCATTATTGAACCAGTTCTCGGAGCATTAATTCTTTCAGAGAGTGGGGATGGGGCAAGGAGGTTTGGGCGTATGCATCGTTGGAGGTGTGAAACATAAATATACTCTATTATTAATATTTATGAACAGTGTTGAATGGGGCGTATATTGGTGATTAAAGCAAGTTTTTATAGAACTGAAATTGCTTTTCGTTGAAACACAGTGAGTAGGTAGAGGGAGAGGGGGAGAAAGGGGAGGAGAGAGAAAAAAGTGAGGGAGAGAGAAAATAATGAGGGAGAGAAAGCGAAGGGGGATATAAGGAAGAGAGAGAGGGAGGGAGGGGGAGTGGGAGAGGAAGAGAGAGAGAGAGAGAGAGGGGGGGGGTGAGAGAATGTTACTAATAAACCGTAGAGAAGAAGACATAGAGAAACAACTATACAAATTTAAAACTCAACCAAAAGAACTACAAAAAAAGAGAATATAAATAGAATGTTTCACTTGACAAGAAAATATCAAAAACCCAAAATGGAAAAAGAGAGAGGATGACACTGGATTTGAAGAAGAAATTGGAGACTGGACAAAAATATATTTAACTTAACATTGATCCTTTCCTAAAACAAAAAAAATAACTTAATTACTAAAATGGGAATAAACAGACATCTAGCCAATGAGACCTTTATTGCACTTATCATTTTAAAACAGAATCTATCATGATGTAAACAACAATTTGCAGAAATTCAGGTGCTCAGCCATGGCATTCTATGATGAAGTGTCTTTAGAAAAAAGATGCCTTTCAGAGAAAGCGACCTTTCAAATCTGACAAAAATAATCACAAATTTACAACCCCCAAGCAGATCAAACTTGCAGCTTTCTCTGAAAAGAAGATTTGCATTACACTTAATGGCTTTAAGCCAAGGTTGTCCAGTAAGGATCGAGGGCGGAAATTCAACGTATCATTCCTCTTTATTTTTCCCCTCACTTTGATTAGCTTCTGCTAAAGGGGACTATGTTTAAATCAGAAACGCATTTACTAAAGTATTAACTTTTAAATAGAATAATGATGAAGATGATGATGATGATGAAGAGGATGATGATGATGATGATGATGAAGATGAAGATGAAGATGAAGATGATGATGATGATGATGATGATGATGATGATAATGAAGATGAAGATGAAGATGAAGATGAAGATGAAGATGAAGATGAAGATGATGATGATGATGATGATGATAATAATGAAAATCATGATAATAATAATGATGATGATAATGATGAGCACAATAAGTGACTTAATTCTTAACCTGGTCACTTGTAATTGATCTGATGATTTTTTTGCAGCCATCATGTAATTAAAAAAAAAAGAATCTCCAAGTTTGGAAGCACTTTATAGTGGTTGTAATAAGCGCTATATAAAAACTGAGTATTATTATTATTATACAACTTAAAATTATTGACATAAAAAAATGAATGAGTGCCGTAAATTTAAAATGGAAAAACAACCTTAGAGATATTCAATCTCATAGAAGGATGCATAAGTTCCATTTACTTCATTTATGTAAAAAGTTTTCTCATTTAGCCTGTATTCATTTCTTCATTTCTATTAGCCACCAATTTATGTCTTGATGTATTTCATATTTTTGGCCATAAATTCAAAATTGAGAGAGAAAAAAAGTTTAATACAAAAAATGCTTTCATAATAAAGAAATTCCTCGTAATGACAAAGAGGATTATGGGCTTGCTGCTTACACATTTCCTTTGACGTCACTTCTTCGAATCCTTCACACCATTTCATCTTTAGAGAATAGAAGGATGAAAAATATATGTGATTGAACAAAGAAATGTCAGATCTTGGCATGTTTGAGACAGACCCAGGGAATACATACGTGTTCTACAGTGCTTTTGAGTGTCTCGAGCAGTGTCTCAAGTTATATATAGCATTTTCTTTTAAATACCATCCAGCAAGGAAATCAAATCTTGTATGTCTCAAGACCGGCAGTGCAGAAAGATTTAACTTTCACTGCAAATATCTCCTTGGCAACTGTGTAATGGAGCAAATTCTTGTCATTTTGATGTAATGGTTGCGCACTGGTGATATAGTCTGCCCTCACTTTTTCTTTACCAATTTTCTTTTGACAGATTATGTGAAGGCAACACGCATCCTCCAAGCTCTTAGGGAAATTGTCCTCTGGAATGAAACTAGAAGTTGTTGCGTGATAGCATCGTATATATCAGAGGGAACGGAAGATTGCAATTAGAATGCGAGGTAACGCGTCTGGAGTTACGAGCACCACCGTTTGCATTCTTGATAGAGAGCATTATTGGCGATGAGTATCATGCCCTGTGACGCAGAGTCACGTACCAGCATCAGGGTTTGTTTGGAGGGCACTAAGAGTATATATACTTTGAAGACAGTGTAAACCTGTCAGGCAGAACTGGCAAGGCAGAGAGGGTAGCGAGGGAAGAGCGATCGCCGTGGATGGGGACGACTTGTTTCCTGAGAAAAAGGAAGGGAAGGAAATAGAGAGAAGAAGTAGGAGATGGTGACCTCTTTAGCTAGAATCTACAAGCACAGCTTCAAGCACTTTCACATTCTTTTTCTGCCTGGAAGACAATTACTTCATGTGTGAGAATTTGTTGTTGTTGTTGCCAAGACAGCATAGATTTGTGTGAGCGGTTGCCATAGCAACATTCTTCAAAGACTGTCTCTCAGCCAAGTGGAAACCAACGAGGAAATTGCTTGACAGAGATGCGATAGACAAAAGATGATATTTTGGAGGCACTGAAGAGATTAAAGAATCAAAAGAAGGAATTAGTCAGTTGGATTAGTAGCAGAAAGTGAACAACTGATGTGTATCTTCAGATATAATAACAATCTTAAGATAGATTACTTGACATAAATTTGTATGTATTAGCATGTTTCCATGTCTATGAAAGCAAGCATTGAAAAAAAACTTTGTTGAATTATGAGCTAGTGGTGATCCGGACTAACATGATTGTAATATGACACAAGCATCATCATCCCAAGCGAAGACTTCATTGAGCACTAAATGTTGCTGTCTTCACACATCTTAATAGTGTGCCGAGTTTCAACAATTGAAGCCAATATACACCATCACTCTCCCAGATACCTAGCGTGAATCTCAGCGGGCAGTGTGCGACCCCTGGACACACACGCATCTCCGGCGAGAGCGTTCAACGGCAGACTTGTCGGATGAAGCCTCGGTTGCCGTCAACGACGCTCATCTTTCACCCGCGAACCCCGAGGGCGAGACGGTTGACATGTGATATGCTGAGAGCCGGGACACACGACGCCCTGTGAACTTGACTTCAATACGATGCGTGAACCTTGTCCTTATCGACTAGCCTTTCATTTCCTCTGTTGATATCTATTGGTTGGATATAAAGACATTTTATCACTGCCCTGTAGCGGATAAGGTAGGTGTAGCTACGTACTCTCTCTAATTGCTTAGCTCATATCATGCTGCTGTTTTTCTTGAGATGATATAATGGTTATGACAGGCTGTCGGAAAGTATAGCTCGCAGGTGTATTCAGGTAGTTAGGTAGCTATATTTAACTGCAGTGTAGTCTTTCTTTCTGTCCATGTTTTGTCAAATGTTTATCTACATTACTATCAGCTTAATACTACATTTCTTTTTAGTTTCAGTGATGATTTCAAACATGTTGCAGTCCTCTTCTTTTCTCTTTCTCCAAGCTCTCTATCCTCCTCTCCTCTTTGCCTATCCCTTTCTTCCTTTCTTCCTTTCTTCCTTTCTCCCATTTATAATGTATAATTGTGTTTATGTATTTGAGCGTACCCACTACAAGCTATGCTTTCGGGTTTCGCGCCTTCTTCCTTGTAATACAAGTTCTTTAATTATCTTTATGTTCCTACTTATAAATTGTATTGTTTGGAAGAAAATAAATGTTCATTTGAATTGAATTGAATAGATTAGCAGTGCTACTCTAAATTATATCTACTTTATAAGGAAACATTGGTTATGAATTGACTGTCAATTCTTGATGTAGTATATTCAACATGAATATATCCTTGAGACATTTTCACGTAATTCACGATAATAGGCTTAAGATTGGGAATTTTAATAGTATATTAAAAGAGTATAGGCCTATATATTTATTTATCTAGCTTCCCTCCCCACTAAAAGTCTGTAGTAATACTTGAAGATATCCTGAACATCAGGTCCTCATTTCATCGTTCATTCATGTGCTGCTAGTGTTGTTCCTGTTATTCTCATCACATTGATGACATTTGATGACCATCGATCTCCTCTACAATCCTGTGTATCACCATGCAAATTATGAAGGCATTCTTGGGAAACGGTTTTGTTCTATGACAGTGATCAATTTTTGATTTATGAGTAAAATCCTTAGTTTTTGGAAAGAAATTTCATTTGTTGACAATGTAAAACATATGAAAATAAATTCATCTATACCTGCTAAAACCCTGTGTTACACAATGAATGCAGTATCATACAAATTATAGAGTTATTCTCAATGAGTTCATCATGTATGACACAAATTCATTCTATCTGAATGTGACGTCAAAGACAATTCTTGATATTTGGAAAAAAATTCCCTACTGAAATGTAAAACAAATAACAAATACATTTTCACAAAGATATGTGAGCTTCCCAGTCATATATATCTTGAATGTGGGTGTATGCACATGTTTCAAATGCTGAGAAAAGCAACTGCATCTTCTCTCAACATAGATTTGAATTATATATCACATCTCAATCTCTCAGACTTCCTTCATTCTGTTGAAAGGCCAAAAGAAAGTGGGCTTAAATTCAGCCATGTCATATGTAATACTATTACGCCCCTATCATGCACTCTCTATTGTTATTCCACTCCCCGCAAATCAAATTGGTAAGGAAATATTCATCGTCGCTTGTCGTCTATTTCATGAGAGGTTTGACCGACGCACCTTGGGAGATGTTGCATCATATCATCGGCAAGGGAAATAAAGGAAAAGACTCTCAAGGTCAGCGTTATTCTTAATGTCATTATCTCTCTCTGAAATTTCCATCCTCGATGATGCTTTTCTCGCCTCCTGCTTTTCTCCAAATCAGATTCCAGGCCTCAGACACCTTTGCCTTGCCGAGAAGAAAATGACATCAACGTCAAGAATGTCTACCGTTCCCATGGAAACGACATTATCTGCTGAATCAGGTGAGTGTGAGGGTCGGCCAACATTTGAAGTGATATGAGCGACTTGTCATTTAACCCCCTTTCTCTATTCCGCCCTCTCCCAATCTACATCTCTCTCTCTCTATCTCTATTTCTCTCTCTCTCACTCTCTCTCTCTCTCTCTCTCTCTATTTCTCTCTCTCTCACTCTCTCTCTCTCTCTCTCTCTCTCTCTCTCTCTCTCGTCCTTGTCTCTCCTATTGTTATTTCTCTCCTTCATACTCAATTTGCCTTTCTCTATCTATTCTTTTTCTCTTGAACATTAATGTAGGAAATTATTTGATATGAGAGGCTCATTATTTAACCCCCTTTCTTTCTTCCTGTCTCTCCAAATCAAATATATCTCTCTCTGTGTCTATCTCTCTCTTCCCTTTACAGTGACAGATGAGATGAAGCAATTTGAGCAACTTTTCTTTCAACCACCTTCTCTTTCACACTGTCTTTTCACTATCTTACTCTTCTCTCTCCTACAATACTGTATCATTGTGTTTCTTTCATCGACCATCGCTCTCTTTATCTATATTCTGTACTTTCCCCAAGATAATAATACTGAATGGAATAAAAACTTTATCATTCTCAGTCTCTCTTTCTCTCTCTTAATATCTCTGTGTTTCAATGCACCATCTTTCTCTATCTGTTCTTTTTTTCTATTTTGAAAGAAGTGAAATAAGGATATTGATATGAGGATCTTGTCATTTAACTCTCTTTATCTCTTCCTATCTCTCTCAATTTCCTCTATTTTGCTTCTCCCCCCTCTCTCTCTCTCTCTCACCCTCCCCCCCCCCCCTCCCCGTACCAAATGAATAAAATTGAAGAATTATTAAAGGTGGCATATGACGTCCTTACACTTACATACTGACTGTGTTATTTCAGGCTACAAAACCAAGAATGGGTTTAGTTTACAGTTTTTTTTTACACACAAAAAACCTCACATGATACTGATACCTGTGAAGAAACTGAACTAATGAAAACCAGAACATGCTTTCTGTTGTGGAGTGAAACTTCAAGTACCTGTTCAAAGGAGAAGGTCATGTATGATGTGAAATCAATATTATTGAAAAAAGACAATATTCTGACACGCGTGTATGGATCGATCGACCCTTTTTATTTCTGTATGAATATCTGGCATGTACATTATATCTCTTGAGATACAGAAGGATTTAACTCATATCCCTGAATACAGAGTTTATATGCTCTTGACTTTCCCAGCAGATGAGATCTTCTGTAAAACTGTACAAATATGTTTATGTGAATATAAATCAAGCATTGGGGTATCTGTATATTTTCGCACTTCATCATTTAAGGTTATTAATAGTGGAAGAAAATTTCCCATCAGTATGATTTTCCAGACGAAGCCACCAGGGGATGATCTTTCATAAATGCAAATGGCCTTCTTAGTATTTATCTTTGATCGAGGGTCAAACGAGGAGAGATGGGAGGTAGACAGAGAAAGATAGAGAGAGAGAGAGAGAGAGAAAGAGGGAAAGAGAGGATGGAGAGAGAGAGCTCTGTGTTATAAGATACAGAATTGTGAAGCATATTACACTTTATGTTATCATAAAATAACTGCCATGGTTTTTCTGCATCAGATCTGAACAAGCCTATAGATGACACAGTCACGCAGTTTATATTAAAACATACCTTATTCAAAATGAAAATTCATGGTATTTCTTATTCCTGGTTGAAATCTGCTCTTAAATAAAATGACTTTAGCTTGTACCCTTTGTTTTGATCTTGGCTATGTCGAAAACCAGCATCATCCATACCATTTCCTTGGGATTTTTCAAAGAATGGAGGATGTGTTTATTATGAGATCAAAAGTGAGACTGCGGGATGTCGTATCGCATTAGGTGATTTCATCGGGAGGAACCCTGGCCAGCTGCTCTGTAATTTCACACTTCAAGAAGCAAAGACGTTTGGTGGAGGACGAGCACAAAACGGTGCCCATTTTCCACCCCGCTGCGTTCCTGATGGGGGAGTGGCATGGGAAGGCGGGTTGCAATTCATTAAGCTGAAACTGACATGTATGCCTCTTTCACACTCCTGGTGTATGTGGGTTGAGTGCTGACCCAGAAATGTTCACTATGTTTGGGTCCACATCGTGTGTTTGTACACCTTACAGTTGTAATTGATACTGCAGTTTGTGGTTAACACATTAGGTCAAGTGGTGGACATTATTATTTCCTACGTCATCATATTAAAAAACGCAACATTTTTGTCGCTTTGCATCTTAGCGAGGTTTTATGGATGACACAGTCACAGTCACACAGTATCGTTAAAACAAAACTAATTAAAAATTAGAATTATTACCTACATTCACCATCATATCACTATCAGAAAACAAACGATACTCTTCCATGTAAAGATTTCAATCTGGATTGGGTCATTTGGGTGGTGCAATTTTCGGTTCAGAAATGCTTTGCAAATGAGTGTGGATTGAGTCCGCTCTTTAAAGAGAAGGTTGAGTTCTGGGAAGAGGTGAAAAAATGTTGTGAGCGTTATCATTCTTATTATGCAAGTGTGGAAGAACATCAGAAAAGACATGTTCCCTGAAAAGCATGGCTCTTCAAATGCCTTTATATTCTAAATATGTCATGTAACTCGTAAAACTCGGGGGGTAGGTTTTTTACGCCACGTGTTCATGTAGTCCCATATACATCTTTCTGTGTACAGCGTTTGTAACTTTACCAAGACTTGGCCAAATTTCTTATCATTTTGATGATTCCAGAACCTTGCAATACACACAAATTCTTATATGCTAGATGATCAACCTTTCTAGTCGATTTCACACCGTTTCTTTCACAACTCAACTTCACAACTCAGAACTCAACTTCATCTTTAAAGCCTCAAGTCCTATGTATGAAAGTGGTTTTAGATTGACATTTAAAGTGCAATAACAGTCAATTGATTAAGCGGGCCATCAGACATTTTCAAGTCTGCATGTAGGATGATTGATTTCAAGTGGTTTTAGCATCATGCAAAATGAAGTTTGGCAGATGGAATTGGATTACCAAGAAAGGAAAATCAAGAGCCATTTTCTGCTTGTCTGGTCAACATGCTTGTACATTAAAGTAGTGACTAATTTTCTCATTTAGTACCCCCCCCCCCCCCACCCCCTCCCCAAATTATGATAGGCATTATCTAAAATAAGAAAAAAACTACCGGTAATGCTATCTTCATCTGTATACTTTCCACGTGGTCCATGTATGTAGTCTTTGGCTGAATATATCAGGACTGAGAATCAAAAGGGCATTAAATTTAAGTTTAAAATAGAAATTGTGTCCAAAACGCCCTTCTGGTTACCAACAGACAGTATTTAAGATTGACCGTTTTGTACATTTACAACTTTTCTTCTTTTTGGGGAGTTCTTTTTTTATTCTTATTTTTTATTCTTATTTATTCATTTTTATACTAGGTTAAGAAATACTAGGTTTGTTATACATGTATCTGGCACAGGAATCGCAGTGCTTTCTCTTTATTTTTTTTCTCAATATAAGAAATATTGGCAGAATAATAAGATTACTTAGTAATGTTTGTCATTTCTTGTTAAATTGTTGAGTTGTAAGGTAACTTTGTCATACAAATATTTATATGACATTTTGTTGCCAGTCTGATGGCTTAGGTAATTATTGCACAATTCACAGAATTGAGTAAACCCGTAAGACTAGCAAGCTCATATACATACACCCACCTTCCTATCTGAAAGTCATTCAGATTTCTGTCATTTGTCCAGATCCATTAAACATCATTCCTGCTAACCAGAAACAAAAAACCAGCCTATTTATAATACTTCCCTGAAAATCTGACAATCTGACATTTAAGACGATGTGGGGCGTACGTACTAGGTCCCTCTGAGTATTGATTTTTCACTTTTTGAGAATCGTGTGGGTTGCAATCGCTTTTCAGATATTGCTTTTCAAGGGCTCCATGCGATACGGACGTAAATTAAACATTATTCGCCCATCAGAGGAAGTAGAGGGGGACTTTGGAGTAGCCCGTCAGTCCCACGTGTAAAGATTCCTGTCGTTTTGATGGCTATCTTTTGATATAAAGGTTCCTGAGTCACGTAGGGTTGAGGAATATTAGCCTTTATGTCCATCTTAATAAAAGTGTGCATAGAATAAATGTTAATATAATACCCTCTTCTTTTATTGTAGTAATTTGAAGAGCATGGTTTCTATACATGAAAATTAACAGTGACGTCACAGTATGGGCTTTCAAAAGTAATAATCCATTTAAACATTTACATTACACTGACTTTTAGTGACTGTCAACTCCATGAAGAGGCAATCAAGTTTGATAGGCAGTGTTCAATTTACCTCAGTTTATAATACTTGTGGCTAATGACAAGAGTGTGCTAACAACCACACTATTGTGTGAGGAAAAAAATCAATCTAAAATGGAGTTGACAACTTGCTTGAAAGCTAATTATATTTCAGTGATTGCAACAGAAATAATGAGCCAGTAGTGATGGTGATGGCTTCTCATATTTAAGATCATAGTCTTATTTTGTTACTACAATTTTTGGATTAATCTTCGATTAAAGGAAGCAGGCTTAAAGATATAAAGTTCTGTAATTGTTTAGGATCGAGAGTGGCATCTATGATCTACCAATGGCTATCTTTGTAAGATATGAAAGAAGTGGACCAGACTTCTACTATTTTAAAGATGCATTTAAAATAATTTTGTTATCCCTTATGTCAATATTACATAAGCAGATGTGAGTATATCATATTTTTAAATGTAAGTATTTTATTATATTATTGAATGTAATATATTATATTCTTGATTTAGATTTAGGCTTGCATGATACAGCAGCTAACCCATTGACTATGGGAACTGGGTAGTCCCTCTGTTTAAACTGCAGGAATGAGAACATTTGGTAGTCAACAAGTTAATCATATGATGTAATTATATTTATTTTCTAATGAAGTAAGGTCCCTCTGTATATTCTGATTGAGTTCATAAATCCCTGGTGTGTAA